CACACACATACATACACACACGTAGTTTGAATGTCATTTTCTGCAAATCTATCAAAGCCTGAAATTGTATTTTGGTGGGATGCTCCATTGTGCCTCTGAGCCCAGAGCGCACACAAGCAGCCACCGGAGGGGAGGTTGCTGGTTAAAAACCCCCAGGGGTGACCTGGCCAGGGCCCCAGACCACTTTAACCACTCGTCTCCATTAACAGGCTCCCAGATATCATTATGCTCCCTGGGGACCAGGCGTGCTCTAACCAACCATTTACCCTCTCTCCTCTATTTCTCTCTCTCATCTCTCCCTCTCTCTGCCATGATGTTACTCAATGAAAAAAGACAGCGGGGAGAAAAAATATGAGATTGATTTATTTGCTTCAGTGTTCTTTGGGATGGAGTCCTCTCCCTCTCTTTCTTTCCCGTTTCTCTCGCTCTCTTTCTCTGCAAACTGAAACCAATTAGCGAGCAGAGCACTTGTAGCGGGAATGTAGGGCAAGCGAGGAGTAATAAAAAAGTATTGACTTTTCTGTGACTGTACGCGGCGTGAAAGGGGTGCCGCGGCCTTGTCCGACATGAAAGGAGCTCCATTAATTTCACTTATTTCACCCAGGCCCCTGTCAGGAGGCCCTAATGCGTCCCAGGCGCACTTCTCACATGCAGGCACTCAGACAGCGCAACGTAGCTCCAGCCTGGTTACCAAATGAGTTTACATTATATATCAGCGCGCGCAAGAGAGGGGAGCGTAAGAGAAAGGAGTAATTTCTAATTCACTGGCTGAGACACAAAGCGAGGCCTTTCATACATAGCTAATTTTGCCCCAGCGTCACCTCCTCATTCTCCTTGCTTTCTCTCTCTCATTCTGCATCATGTAAAGTCCACAGTTCCAGGAAAATGACCTAAAGTACTAAAACAGGACCACAACGTAACAGCCTGAGAATAAGATAGGAAGACACTGGCTTTAATTCCCTAGTGATCACTCAGTCTATCACCAAAAGGCAAAGTAAAGCAAAAGATACATGTTGAGATATATTTCAGGTGTCTTTTTTAGAATCAACCAAACAATCAAATTTGCTAGAATGCGATTTTCACATAGCTGCAAAAGGTAAGCAGTAGAACGGAAAAACCAAACACTGGCACTCAATAGGGTCTTTAACGTTTTTCGCAGCCACCGTAGTTTGGAAGGGGAGGGTGAGCATGTTGTTTGCAATCATCAATTACACTGTTAGATGCAACTAAATCCTACACACTGATTTTTAAGTAAAATCAGTTAGCAATGAAAAGCTCCATGAACTTTTCTCATCAGGCTGTTTGGTTTGGCCTACTGTCACAATCTACCTGGAATTTCAGCAGCATTGTGTGTGTGTGTGTGTGAGCCTGTGTTTGCATGTGCACGCATGTGTACGACAGAGATAGGCACACTCCATGAGTGTCTGTGTGTGTATGTGTGTGTGTGTGTGAAAAAGAGCGAAGAGTGAGAGGCTATCTGCAGACAGAAACTAATCAGTGTGTGTGAGATAAGAAAGCAGCCTTTATGGTGTATGGTAATCAGCCCCCCCTCGGCCTGCCACCGCCATGCATAATCACCACGACTTATTCACATGATTGATGAAATATGCGTCTGTGAAATCCGAGCTGCTTTTGTTATCATCCTGTTTTTCCCCTCTCCCCCCTCTCTTTCCCTTTCTCTCAATCTTTTTTGTCTTGTTCAACCTCTCTAAATATCTCTCTCCTGCTCTGCAGGGCCAAAGATGTTTGGAACCATGTACAAACAAGAAATTACACACACAGCATGGGGCCCCTCTTGAAACTATGTACATGCACACGCACACACACACACACACACACCCAAACACACACTCATTCTACACATACTTTTCTCTCATGAGGTAGTAATGTGATGCATGAGAAAAACCAACATCGTCTGAAAAGGAATATGAAGACATGGAAGAGGGAAAAAAAGAAAAGATAAGGGAGTGAGTAAACGAGGAGACACATTAATTGTTCTGTCCTGCAGAGAGAAGTGTTGGCTGGATTAGAGGGGGATGAGAGGAGAGAGAGAGATGGTGTGATAGATGAAATTAGATGGATAGATGCTTCAGAGAGCTCGTCATTGACACTCAATCGCATTAATCAGGGAACGGATGCAGAATTCACAACTAATTCAACATGAAGAAACAAAGACAGAAACCATTTAAACAAAAAGCAGCAGTAAGTCCATACGAGGACACAACTACTGAGGGAAAGAGTACAGTTCACTGTGTGTCTGTACACAGTTACGAAAAAGTACTTACGTAATACTCAAGAAGACAAATTCAGAAATGTGGCCTTCACAAGAACTGATAAACATAACTCTAAAAACATGACAAACATCTTTACTGACCTCACTGTTGAGGTGTCTCATTGGTCAAACAATTGCATTTTTGTTTTATTATTGTATTATTTCTTAGATTTAGTCTGTTTTTGTTTGGGGTGTACTTTGCTCCTACTCATCCTTGAATTTCCTGGTCAGCTTTACCTCCTAGAGGGTCTGTCAGGGTAAAGTCAAACAGAGCGCTGGAACTCATGTAGATGTTTTAGACTGCGCTGAAGAAAGTTGAGCAAGACAGCACTGTCTGTTCATATACATGCACACCCACATTCTTGGGAGATTACTGTAACATGGCATTTCAACTGTTTACTTGGCAATCATTGCGACAAAAGACAAAATCATTGCTGCTGTAATCTTCTAGAGTCTCACCGATACCTGACAGAACACCCCTCAACACGGACCATTGCGTTTTAACGCTGCACTGCTTTCTGGGTAAAAGGGTAAAATGGCTTTGGCCCAGGACTTACAGGGCTTAGAGTAACACGCAATGAAGGAAAGGACTAGGAGAGACACAGCTTGGGAAGAGGGCTGGGACTAGGACTGATTTGGGTTGAGAGTAGGCGCTGGGGGAAGGTGGGGGCTGAGACTGAGAGTAAGATTAAGACTGGGGCTGGGGCTGGTGAATTAAGGCCCCCAGCCTCAGGGTGCTATTACACATCTATAATGAGA